CCCCCTGGGTCGGTTCCTTGTCACCTGTGGTTCTCTATAAGAAAGCCGGCGCCTGTGCTGACGGTGCTCATTCCTCCTGGAGGAGGCTTGGATGTGCCATTCTTGCCTTAGAGCTCGTCCCTCATCGCGTTCCATCCTCCTTAGATTCTCCCTCAGTGTTTGGCGCACAGTGCTGCGGGACCTCTGTCGGAATCGGCTCCTTGTCGCCTGTGGTTCCATGAAAGAAACCCGGGGTCCCTGCTGACGGCGCCTGCTTCTCCTTGAGGCGGCTCGGATGTGCTGTTTAGTCCTTGGAGGTCGGCCGTTGCCACGAGCAGTGTTCTGAGCCCTGCTCTGCTGCTGTCTCCTCCTGCTCGAGGCGTTGTAGCCCTGGGCTTGCTGAACCCTGCCATGGCCATTGTGGTGCCACCTTTGGTACCTTCTTCGGTTCCTCTCTCGAGCCCCACCATGCCTAGTGCCACGGCTACCGCCCCGGGTACCACCACGGCTTCTGCTGAAAGAGTTGCGGTGCTGGTGTCCTGAGGAACAATGCCACCTCCTTTCCTCAGAGCTGGGTCCAGCTCTCCCTCCTTGAGCACGGTTGTCGGAGCTGCTGTACTGCCCAGTGGAGTATGTTTCGGAGTTAGTGTCTCCCACCATGCAAAAGTTGTGTGGGAAAGACCACTGACATATTGGGCACGCTACTCTTCTGTGGAACCACTCCACTAGGCAGGAAAAACAGACATGATGATTAGTGGTGTCCAGGCAGATTGGGCACCTTAGGCTCTCCAAAGCACCCGGAGGTGTAGCCTGGGACATGTGATTGGTGTTGGCAGCACAAGAAGAGGTGCTGCCTTCTCCCAAGTCCTCCTCCAAGTTCATCTTGCCCTGCAAAACAACAAAGAGATACGAGGCTGTTGCATCCACCTGTGCAAGGGACGCAATCTGCAGCCAGCAGCAAAGCTGCCAAAGTTGAGTTCTAAAGAACTGCCCGCTCTGCCTCGGGGCTGCGTTTGGGCTGCCACAAATGCCAGAGATCATCCTGGGGCAGATGAGTGACACTGGGGTGTCTTGGCATGTTCCTGCTCTCAGGGCAGGATGGTGACTGACCTCTCTGACACATGCAGGCAGGAGTTGGGAAGGTGGAAAAGGGATTCCTGGCCTCTCAGCAATGGCAGCTGGAGCCTGGGTACATGGCAGGTTGGCACCAGTGACCTGGGCCCTGCAGTGTACCTGTCCAGCAAATCCTCTCTGTGCCCTCAGAAGGCACCCAGCAGGATGGGTGTCCTTTGTGACCCCACGTGCGGGTGTCTGTTTCTGATGGAGGAGGCCAGACACTGTGGCCCTTCAGGGCTGCCCCACACTTCCAAAAGGTATGTTGTCAAGGGTGTCACAGTGACTCCCTGGTGACATCACAGGACTTCCAGGACCACACTTCAGCCACACTTCAGACCTTGCCAGATAACTCATTTCACGCAACTGCCCCGCTGTCGAGCAGAATCGCTTTGCTTTTTTTTCATATAAATTTGGAGGTTTCAGCAATTATACCCAGCCCTGTGTTCTCTTTTAGAAATAAACCATCTCAAGGCATTTGTTACTCCTTGGCTGACTTTGCAGGTTGAGGGAGTTGATCCTCCCCCTCTGCTTAGTGCTGTCGAGGCAACAGTTGGAGTACTTTACCCAGTGCTGGGCTCCTCAGCATAAGTAGAGATGGACATAGTGGAGAGCAGCTAGCAAGGGTCCACAAGGACGATGAAGGGACTAGATCATCTGTCCTGTGAAGAAGGAGCTAAGAGTGCTGCTTCCAGGCTGTTGAACCTGCAGCAGACTCTGTAGGGGATTTTTTTCAGTGTAAATCAATACCTGAAGGCAGGGTTGAAAGAAGACCAGATCCAGGCTCTTTTCAGGGTGCCCACAACTTCCCTCTGAACATTTGGAAACGTTTCTTTTACTGTGATGGTGATGAAACACTGGCAGAGGATTTCCAGGGTGATTGTGGAGTGTCCCTCCTTGGATCTCAAGATCTGTGTGGCTACGATCGTGGGCTACTTGCCACAATTCCCCGGAGGAAACCTTATGTGCCCACTTTCCGCACTGGCTTTTGATGCAATAATCCTGCCCTCCAATTCTGGGTTTACAGCCTGGCTCTCATCACGATCCCTCCCCATTTGCTTCTGTCACTGTGTTTGACCTTAAGTGCTGCTGGACCTCACCTGAAATTGACTTTTTGTTGCCTTTCATTTCCTGGAGGAAACCCCATTGATGTTTCTCGCTCCTCTGATAATAAGCTGGGACTAGCTCTTCTGGACTTAGAGCTCACCCCCTCATCATGTTCAATATTGGAGTTAAACCAATTAAAGTGCCACAGGTTGTCTCACTCTTGATAGATCTGCAAACTCTTATCGCTTAAGTCTCATAAGCCCAGCTGAAGTAGTCTTTCATTAACTTTAGCAAAGACACCTCTTTAGTTCCAAAACTTTCATGTACTCTCATTTAAAAATAAAGTGCAAGACTGGGACTGGTTGCAAGGACTGGTGGACGTTTTGAAGGTGAGCAGTTAGTCCTAAGATCTACTACCCCTCCCTACTGACCAAACAGATTTCTAAGCATCTTCAGCACCTTCCCAGAAGAATGAGTTTAATTGGTGTTGAGGCCACTGACATCCTGGCTTGTATCAGCAATAGTGTGGCCAGCATGACCAGGGCAACGATAGTCCCCCTGTTCTTGGCACTGGTGAGGCCACACCTTGAGTCCTGTGTTCACTTCTGGGCCCCTCATTGCAAGAAAGACGCTGAGATGCTGGAGCACATTCAGAGAAGGGCAACAAAGGTAGTGGAGGGTCTAGAGCACAAGTCCTATGAGGAGTGGCTGAGGGAGCTGGAGTTATTTAGCCTGGAGAAGAGGTAGCTCAGGGGAGACGTCATCACTCTCTACAACTACCTGAAAGGAGGTTGTAGCCAAATGTGGGTTAGTTTCTTCTCACAGGCAACTAGTGACAGGACGAGAGGACATAACCTCAAGCTGTGTCAAGGGAGGTTTAGCTTGGATAATCAGGAAGAACTTCTTCACAGAAAGGTTTATTAATTGTTGGAATGGACCATCCAGGGAAGTGGTGAAATCTGTGTCCCTGGAGATGTTTAAAAGACGTGGATGTGGCACTTAGGGGTATGGTTTAGTGGTGGACTTGGCAGTGCTTAATTAATAGCTGGACTTGATCACCTTAAGGTTATTTTTCAACTCAGATGATTCTGTGGTTCTAGTGTAATATATGTGTACATGTAGATCGACTTTCCCCACTTGTCTTTTAGAATTATCTCAGCAGTGTTCACAATACATCTGGGAAATTCCTTAATTTCATTCCAGTACTTACTGTGCTTGTGACATTTTTCCCTCTTTGTTTGCCTTGTCTCTCCCCTCTGCACCCCATAACACAACCCTTTGTATAATTGCATTGGATCTATTTTCAAATAACTTTTTATCTATTAAACCTGCCCAAATTAAGTATTTTACTGCAAAGAATCAGTTTTTAAGCTTGTGCTTAATTGATGGTTGCTGCTTTCCAGGTTAATCTTTCCCACTGAATGCAATATACTGCTATTTTTCAGGTATATTCAAGTATTTTTTAATAATGAAGTATCCTTCTGATGATTTTAGTGATAGTAATCCTAAATTAGGGAAGGTATATCCCATCTGAGTTCTTTTAGGTGTGTTCTCTGAGAGGTTTTAAAAGAACTTATGACTGAAACATTAGAGAATTGTCTGCTGGTGCAGGCTTTAAATAAATTTTTTGGTCTTATATAGGCAGCATAAATATTTATTAACAAATCATGACATGGACTGTTCTTTTCAATACATTTTTTCTTATGCTTATTGTAAGTCAAAGAAACTTGTATTGGTGTGTTACAGATTGCTGTTACTGTGTTACTCTTTTCCATTCTTGGTTTCTGGTCTTTGAAGCAGCATGTTTCTAAGTCCCACAGCTGTCCCTTTTTGGCTATAAATCAGTTATAATTAAATAATTATGAGCATTGCCATTTTCTGTGCTGTCAACAATGTTACTGCTGCAAATGCAGCTTTTTCAAAAGAATCTGTGCTCTCAGAGAGCTCTCAGGCACCTATTAGACATTCTTTGCAGAGTGATAATTTCAATTATTTGTTGTTATCTGTTCATTATCAGGCTTTAGGGAATAAAGAATTCAAAACTATTCAACCTGAATATATTTTTGAGGTTTTTTTGTAAATTCTACAGGTGTTCTACATACTAGCAATATTATATATATTTATTTATAACAATTATTTACTGTATTTCTTAATTGGGAAATTTTTTGCAAGAGTTAACTTCTTATCTTATTTTGTACAACCTTCAATTAATTCAGAAGAATTTGAATGGAGACTCAGTAAAAAAAGTAGTTTTCTACTACTTGTACTGAAATTGCCATTAGAATCCAGTTCAATTCTGGCAGGTCACATCTACAAAAAGCATCAAGCTGAGATGATGTGATCCCCTTTAAAAGGCTGATAAGATGGAATTTTAAGCCTCTTCTATTCCTGCTCCCACTGAGATCATTTGGCTTCCCTTTCAGCTGGGGAAGAATTAGTTGAGAAGTATCACCTGTGGACTGTCACCAGTGCTGAGAGGTAAAGGTGACAGTCCAGTTTTTTCAAACACAACAGTACATGCCACATGAGTGCAGACAACACAGGTGTTCAATACACAGCCTGCATTATAATGTGTAAGTTTAAAGTTCCTAAGGATGATAAATATCATGCCACTGATTGCTCTGTTTTTTAATATTTTTCAGAAATGGAAAAATTTCAGGGTTCTGAAGGCAAGAAGGAAGATGAAGAAAAGAAATATCTTGATGTTATCAGCAACAAAAATATAAAGCTGTCAGAGAGAGTTCTGATCCCTGTCAAACAATATCCAAAGGTACTGTAAAATATAGTCTAACACTTGTAGTATACAGGCTTTGTAGTATTAAAAAGAAAAGAAATCAAGCTCCTACTTGAATTTACCTATTATTAGCTATTACATGTTTTAACTTACGTCTCAGGGCCTTTCAAAAAAGCTGTTGAAGTGAATGAGATTTTTTTTAATTTCAGATAGGTTTTGTAGATTAGACTTAGGCAGACCATTGATCTTTTTTCTCAGAGTTGTTTTTTCACATGAACCATTTTTTTTATAGAATAAAATACCAGTTAACAAATCAAAAAATGTTTCAAAAACTCTGAAAAGCTTCGTCATAGAAGAGCTGGGTGATTTTCTCTGGTGTAAGAAGTTTTGGAAGATCAAGTATAAGGATTACTGATTACTGCAGGCTGTGACTATGACAATGTTCATCTTTATTTATAAAAATCAAATGTCTTAGCACCTCAGACTTTCTTCCCTGTTCTCGTTGCTGCACACTCTGATTTTAAAACAGGATTTTTTTTCTTGACAAAGAACCCCAAATTCATCTGCTTGTCAGAAGTTTTAATTTTTATTTTACGGAAGAGAATGTTGATTTTTGCATCTTGGGTGTTTATTTGGTTTTCTTGTACAGTGTTTGATTTTACATAAACAGTTGTTCTAATAGTACTCATATTGAAATGGTAAACATCTCCATTTGTCTCCACAGTATTTTTTCCTTGCTGATTTATTACCACATGGTGTTTAGTTCACCATTAGCCTTGATTACACTCTCAGCTTTTTACTTTATACTTTCATCAGAACAATAAATTACAACTGGTAAAAAGCCAATCAAGCAAAATGAAAGGTGTAAAAAAATTGAGATTCAGTGATTCCAGTTGACATTTACCTCCTGACTAGTGAATATAAAACTGAGATAATGTAATAATCCAAATGGTGAACACCTTAGAAACACATACAGTGCTATAAGGAATTACTTTCTTACTGCATAGCCTAAGTTGCTTTAACTAGATTTGTGATATTTTGTGTAAATGCTGTAGGTGACCTGAAATTCTTAGTAAAAATGTAGTCATTCTGTAGCTTCATAATGGCAATGTGATAATTATTCAGAGTACTGTTTGATGAAGATAGTAGAATGAAAGACAAACTATTTAAAAGACAAAATGCAATAATCTATCCAGTATAGCATCTGAATGTGATTGAATTAAGCTTCATTTACTTTAATGAACCTGTCATATTGATGAATATTAAAAAATATAAAGCATTTTTATAGATTTAGACCAGTGAAGCAAAAAAAATCAGTGTGATGGAGATGAAATACTTATTCAAGAATTAAAATAAACTGAAAAGTTTCTGTAGTTGGTTTGCTAGCAATATTCTGTGCTTGGCATGGAATTATTCTCAGAACTTCAGGTTTCCTGCTACCGTCTCTGGTAACCATCCTTCAAGGATTCCATTTGCCATTTGCAGATTGCTGTGATCCAGTGTCTTATCTTCTCTTGAAAATTGTATACATTAGTCAAAGCCAGTACCCATTGGGTGCTTCAGATTGCTTTATAAATAACAAAAAAGACTAGAAACTCAATTAAAAGAGGATTATATATATTTAGTAGAATATGGTAATAAGAGCAGTTGATCAGAGTTATTTATACATGTATAAATAAGTAAGATTATTACCATGTGATTTCACTTGAGAGGCATTTATCACAGAATCATAAAATATCCTGAGTTGGAAGAGATCCACAAAGATCATTGAGTCCAACCCTTAGCTCTGCACAGGCCCAGCCCCAGGAGTCACATCCAGGGTTGCCTCATCCTAGGTGCAGAATCTGGCACTTTTCCTTGTTGAACTTCATGTGGTTGGGTGATTGCCCAGTCCCCTAATTTTTCAAGGTCTCTCTGCAGGACCTCCCTGCCATTGAGAGAGTCAACAGTTCCTCCCAGTTTTATGTCATCAGCAAATTTGCTTAGTATCCCTGCCAGTCCTGCATCCGAGTAATTTATGAAAATGTTGAAGGGCACTGGGCCTAAGATGGAGCCCTGTTGAACACCAGAAGTGACATGTTGCCAGTCTTATGTTACTGTATTACTCTATGTGCTCCAGCCATGAGCCAGTTGCTCACCCACCACATGATGTGTTTATCCAGCTGTGTGCTGGACATTTTGTCCAGAAGGACCCTGTGAGAGACAGTATAGAAAGCTTTACTGAAATCCAAAAAGATGACATCAGTTGGCTTCCCTTGACGAATTAGGTAGGTTACCTTGTCATAGAAGGAAATCAAGTTAAATAAGCAGGACTTTCCTCTCATGAAGCTGTGCTGGCTGTGACCAATGGCCAGTATTGTCTTTCAGGTGTTTTTCAATACTTCCCAGAATAATCTTCTCCATAACTTTACCAGGCACTGAAGTGAGACTGACAGGCCTCTAGTTTCCAGGCTCCTCCTTCCTATCCCTAAACTAGGACAATGTTTGCCATCTTCCAGTTAGCTGGGACCTCTCTGGATCCCAAGACCATTCAGAAATCATTGAGAGATGTTTTTTGGTTTATATTTGAAAGAACGTTATTTTAAATTATTTATTCATTGTTTGCCGATAAGCTTTTTTGGGCAGTTTTGGGTTTTGTAAATCTGAAAAAAGTGTCCAAGAGTTTAAAATTTTGAAAAAAAAAATAAAATTTGCCCAGTTAAAAACCACTAAAAACCAACCACATAGTTTACGGACTCTCTATATAGGAATGAGTGCAATTCTTGAAAAATATTTGTCTTACTTTAACTCCACATATAAATATAAAGTTCTCAAAGGGAACCCTTGGCCTAAAAGTTTATTATGGTTTGCAGGTTAAGCTGCAGTGATGGTAGATCCCTTCAGTAACAGCTGTAGAGTCAGGAGCAGCATTTTAAGGTCTGAGCAAAAGTTAACAGAAAAGGCTTCTAGTGGTTAAACAGCTCTTGAAGTTGCAGAATAAGTATTATAAAATTGTCTCTACTCAAGTGTCTACAGTCTGATTTCTGAAATTGATGGTGTGTACAACAGGAAAAGATTATGAAAGACTGTGATTAGCACCAACTGTCTTAACGTTACCAGCTCTGTTAATGACACAGACCTTTCCCCTCTTCTGTAAAGCCGGGATCTAAAATAGAGACAGAGGTGTTAGTTGATACTTTAGCAATGATTTCTGTGAGATGAATTAATTTAAATACCAGCAGCCCAGGTAAAAGCAGCATCTCATTTACACACATTCCTCTATGCAGCAGATATTTTTAGTACCTTCAGATTTTCTCTTGAAACAGGCATTCAGTGTCTCGTGTTTGTTGATCCTTCTTTCTGTCCCATACACCATTTTTTTACTTTCACGGTGTGTGAATTCCAATTAAGACTTGCATGAATACATTCAGAAAGATTTTAGCATTTATCAGTGTAATGTTGTATTTCAAATTCATCAAATATGGGAAAAGAGTGGGTTATTAAAAAAACCAAAACAGAGGTCTGAAATTATCTTGTTACTGAAAAACAAAAGCCACAGTTTGGTGGGAAATTTTGTCATTTGCATGGTAATACAGATTTTTGCTGTTTACTAACCAGTTATTTCACTTCCACTGCATTGCGTAATCATCATCTTTCTTTGTGATAACTTGTTCAAGAAGCATGTAAACTGGGCTTTGCAAAATCATTCCTTTGTACAGTTTAAGAACTTGAAACCTTATTTAAAACCTTGGTTTGATGTAGCACATAATAGAAAAATTTTTTGTTTGCAAGCTTGTCCAGTGCACACTGTAAGTTAAAATGTTGTTGACCTTGGTGAAATTCTGTTGCCTTTATGCTTGGCTTCAGCTTAGCTGGATTTCAGCCATTAAGGAATGGGTCAGTTTGTTAATTTCTTTTACTATCTTTAAGTGCAAGTAGATGACAAATCATAAGATTTTTATGTATGTGCATAAAAATCTTAAATATTGCAGTGCTTCTATTGTGGTTTGACCTCAGACAGCAACCAATCCCAATGCAGACGCTCACTTACTCCCACCAGGGGCATGGGAGAGAGACAGAATAGTAAAAGTGAGAAAATAAGAGTTGAGACAAGACAGTTTAATAGCTAAAGCAAAAGTTGGATATGGAAGTGAAGCAAACTCAGGAATGAATTCACTGCTTCCTGTGTGCAGGCAGGTGTTCAGCCATCTCCAGGACAACAGGGCTCCATCACGTGTAACAGTGACTTAGGAGGACAAATGCCATCACTCCAAACATCCTTCCCTTCCTCCTTTTTCCGCCACCTTTATATGCTGAGCATGACACCATATCGTTTGTGATATCCCTTTGGTGATTGGGGTCAGCTGTCCCAGCTATGTCCCCTCCCAACTCCTTGTGCATCCCCAGCCTTCTCACGGGTGGGATGGGGTGAGGAGCAAAAGACCCTTGAACGCTCTGCAAGTGCTGCTCAATGATAACAAAAACATCTTTGTGTTATCAGCGTTGTTTTCAGCAGAAGTCTAAACCACAATCCCATACTTAAAAAGAAAATTATTCTACCCCAGCCAAAATGAGCACAGTATCTTTTACTGTTTTAAAGATTCAGTGCTGAATATTATTTGTTTATATTGTTTTATGCTTCATAAACTCATGACTTCAAGCAAATAACTTACACAAACTTACCAGTGCTAAAGATTTCATTGTGAAGGGTGAGCTTCACAATGATGTTCTCTTTACATCTGACTCAGACAATTAATATGGTGATTTTTATTTAGCATTCTCTTTCTTTTATGTGTTGTTTCTCTCAAACCTGATGGTTGCTATTATAATTCCAAAACAATTGTTGTAATATTAATCATCTGCAAGTGATTTATGTGTTTAGTTCACTTTTAAGTAAAATAGGAAAAGAAAGATATAGTACTATGTCCATTGGATGGATTGACAAGAAAATACAAGATTTCTAAGGAAAATAGGACCTGGGCTATTAGTCAGCTGAATGAGTAGCCAGGACTTCTATCTGTGATTTATATTGCTCTAACGAAATGAGAACCTTGTTG